TCAAGGTGCCGAGTGCTCACGTCCGCGGCTAACTTCGACTTGACCGAGACGCGAGTGTTGCATGTTACTTGAGCAACAGGTGAGCAAATCAATGCATATAAAACAAATCAATGTTATATAGTTCAACATGATGAAAAGTTAGAATATGATCTGTATGTTATTCTCTAATGTTAATCTAGGAGTCTCATACAGGCAACAAACAACCTAACTAACAACATTCAACACGGACAAATGCCGTTTAGTGTGATAGTGAAACTGTTAGAGCATAGCAAGTGAAGCAGCGCTGCGTTACCTCAAGTTTAATTCCTCTAATAAACTGACCTGTGTGAGTAATTCAGCGTGTAGTTCGGTAGAATTCAATGTCCTTATTTATCCGCGGACTCGCGTTGCGTGTGGGCACTCGTATAACTTAAGTCTAGCAATCGCGCCCTGCTTCATTCTAGTCATGTTAAAAACATCACTGTATTCACTCATCCATAAAAGCTTCATCAGCTTGACGACAAGATCCATAATTCCGCTTAATGCGGAAATATACATAATTAATATAGGCCTTTGTTATTGTAAGAGGTTAGTGACACCTGGTGGCGAAACAATCTTGCATATTGTACCTTTAAAGGGAAACTCCACTTTTTTGGAAATAGGCTCATTTTACAACTCCCCCAGAGTTGAACAGTTGGGTTTTACTGTTTTCGAATCCATTCAGCTGATTTTCTGATATTTAGAAGAAATCGTAACCAGACAGTTTCTGGTCTCATTGACTTCCATATTTAGAAGAATATCGGTAACCAGACAGTTTCTGGTCTCATTGACTTCCATAGTATATTTTTTTCCTACTATGGAAGTCAATGGGACCAAAAAACTGTCTGGTTACTGATATTCTTCTAAATATCAGAAAATCAACTGAATGGATTAGAAAACGGTAAAACTCAACTGTTTAACTCTGAGGGAGTTGTAAAATGAGCCTATTTCCAAAAAAATTGGAGTATCCCTTTAAGTTCTGAACTATTATTCTCTCGTACTTGTATTATGTTTCACTGACATTACAAGGTGAAACTATGAGATTTATTAAAAGTTTAAAAATAGATAAATAGATACATAAAACAAATTATAACAAGCTATTGTTATCGTTCAGTCAACAACAAATCAGGTAAGCACCATTTTGGTGGAAAAAGGCATACCAGACCACAAGACCAAGCTAAAGGTTTGTGATTATTAAACTTATTTTAGAGTCATTTACTTATTACGTCCGACTGAAAACTGTGCGTCCACATAATAAATGCACATGAAACATTTCATCTCAAACTAACAAAGTCAGCTAATGGACTACTCCTGAGAGGATCATGTTTAAAATGCATGACAATGCATACTTATAAGTCATAAAATTCAAATGGTTACATCTCATTAGAACCTCACGCCAAAATCTACTGGGAGGAGCAATATCTGCCTCTATCTTTTTCATTTCAGTCCAAGACTCTGCCATGGCTACAGGTCAATCACACATCCGCAATCAAAGCAAATGTAGTGAATTTCAAGCAGGCATTATGTCGTTTAGATTCAAAGCTGCATTGCTTGCAAATCCAACCATGAGCCATTTAGCCAAAAGGTTATTATACGCGCCTTATTGTAGAATGCCCTGACGACATATAAAAACCACGCACCATCTACACGCCGCAATCACTGATATCGACATTTCGGAAAGCAGAGCCAGGAGAGTGTGTGTGTGTGCGTGAGGGGACGTGACTGAGTGAACTGGCGAACTGACCATGAATGCAAACGAGGGAGGGCATGAATGGCCAATGCGGCAGTAGAGAGGAAATAGGAAGCCATGAAATAAACCCTCACAGATGTTCACACTAGCGCCGCCTGCCACAGCTGCACAGGTGACATTTCTCCGGCTGAAAAAAGATGAGGCAGACACTGAACTCATTCACCCTGGGCCAAAAACACACACATACACAAACAAGCACCCCGCATGCAATAATACACCCTTCGCTTGCGCCTCTCGCTCGCTCGCTCTCCCACCACAGCTCTGAAACGGCCACTGTGTGCACTTTCCAAATAAGTCACAGTGATTTCTGCAAGCGAACGGCTGTGGAATTTTAACATGGATGCGAGGTGCAGCAGACAGTTACCCCTTGCTGGTGTCATTGTTTGAGGTTTGGAATATGCATGAGTCACATGTTAAATATACAAATAGCCTGCATTTACAGAGAGCTGACAGCACTAATCATACTGTTCCTGTGGATGACACCTCAATGTCTGACAGCAGACAAATAAATATCAGGCGCTGCTTCATTTCACAATGAATGATCAACTGAGATACAAATTAGCAAACTGTATCACTGCAGCAAACATCCCAAGTGAAAAAAAACTGGAATTTATTTCATATTAAGTACAAATTCACCTATTTACTGGCATATCACTTGCGACTTACACATCATAATTAAACTTTATTTTGAGTGGGCCTACTTTGCACAATTCACATCGCTGAATATAGGCTATAATAAGGACATTATGATCACTGTATAATATCAGTCTTTAAATGTAAGATATTTAAGGTTTACCTACAGTATACTTGCAATAGTTCCATTTTAGCACAATCAAATTTAATTGACCCTTCGCTAAGCCCCGCCCCTCCCTAGTTACTGTTGCTACGCCTGTCAAGCTTTCGCGGCTGGCACATCTATTATGGTGTAGATGCACCGGTGTCAGACATTCCCAACGAGATAATTAGTAAATTAACTACAATAAATAAACTACAGTATAAAGGGCCAACAAAGTTGCTTATGACCAACATATCAACACGGCAAACCCTACGATTCCTCACAAACATGTCAAGAGACAGTTGTTCTTTAATGACATCTTCTGCCACTGTAGCTCATACATGTAAAATGATGCACAGTAAGAATCAGTATGCAGTGCAGCCAAATACAAAAGGCTCCAGTATTGGAATTAATCTGCCATGTCAGCACTTGATTTAAGCGTACAGCAGCGTTGTGCTACTATTAATATGCGACCGAGAGCATTTTGGATATTGACCCCCAGGCAATGATTACTGAGCTGTGAATCATGATAGTTTACATATTGTTTTAATGGATCGTATTAAATTCATCATCTAATAAAATGCAAACACTCATCGTGGAGGAGATAATATATTTCCAGCGATGCTGAACCATGCCCATAAATAATAAATCAGGCAAAATGTGATGTTCAAACAGAATGAGAGAGAGGAACATGACATGACTAAAGCCTTGAGCTACCCCAAATGTGCCTCTATAGTTTGGCACCATGGAAGACATCTCCATTAGTGTAATGGAAATGATGGTGGTGCCAGGTGAAATATTACTCTGTTTATTAGACACAGCAGGGCATGCAGATTTCAGAGCAGGCCGGTGGGTTTCTTTTGAATGCTGGTCAATACCCAAAGGCTCATAATATTGAGTGTAAGCTTCTCTTTATTATTTTAAACACTCTTATGAAATTGCTCGACGAGCAGTGTTGTCCTGTGTTCCTAATAAAACAGGAAGTTTTGGAGGGGCATATCGATTGATAGTCCCTTTTATTTGTAAATAGCCGAAGGCTTTTGATATGTCACAGTCATGAACTACAATATGCTACTTGACTGTTGCAGGTGGGATTGGATGCAGGACATACTGTATGTATTCTGGAGAGAATTTCATTGGACAAAAATGTCGTCCATTCTCATCCATTTTTGTAGAAGGACCATTTTAAATACAGTACTGTCAACTTGCATATGGATGATGAGATTACAGACGTCGATTAAATGGCACAACACTCTCATTTTGATTTCATGAGGTCTGCAATACTTTGACAGACACAGTAACATACTAACCAAAAACCAAATCATGACCCATTATTGTCCAATGTACGACAAGAACAACATGTTGTCTCTAACAAGGAGGATGGCAATAACATGTTCTAATGGAAACAAGGGCAACAGAATTACATTGCTCATTTCTGCAGCTTGAGCATAAAGTCTGTATTTGTTGGGTCTACCACACGTATTACTCACAGCAGCAGGCAGTCATGAGTGGCAAGAGACAGTCACATCCTCCTCCACTCCTCACAGATCTGATTTACTGCTGATATTAGAAATGAATATGAAATCAAGCCACGATTAGTCCTACTCCACCCCAAAAGCAGACATCCATTAAAAGCGAGGAGGAGGGGAAGAGAGCACAGTGAGATCTATCTATTTATCTGTCCATCTATCTATCTAACAGACAGACAGACAGACAGACAGACAGACAGACAGACAGACAGACAGACAGACAGACAGACAGACAGACAGACAGACAGACAGACAGACAGACAGACAGATAGATAGATAGATAGATAGATAGATAGATAGATAGATAGATAGATAGATAGATAGATAGATAGATAGATAGATAGATAGATAGACCGATAGATAGACCGATAGATAGAGACAGGCAGACAGAAAGAGGCAGATAGATAGAAAGATAGATATACAGACAGACAGACAGACAGACAGACAGACAGACAGACAGAAAGATAGACAGAAAGATAGATAGATAGATAGATAGATAGATAGATAGATAGATAGATAGATAGATAGATAGATAGATAGATAGATAGATAGATAGATAGATAGATAGATAGATAGACAGACAGACAGACAGACAGACAGACAGACAGACAGACAGACAGACAGACAGATAGATGTCTCACCGTTGACTGTGAGGTGAACCCAGCTGCCGTTGTGGAAGGTGTCATATTGTTGTTCCAGCATGAGGACCCTGCACTCATACCAGCCCTGGTCTTCTGAGCGCACCTGGTCGATCTGCAGAGACGCTTTGCCATGCAGGCTGGTTCTACCTGAAAGAGCACAGGAACAGAGGAGAGAAGACTGAGACTGGTGCAACAAATTTTTTCACATCTTTTCTTTTCTTTTTTTTCTTTCTTTTTTTTGATAACGGATCAAGGGTGTCATTAGGCCCTTTTTAGTTGGGCCTCAGCCCTGAATAAACTGTACAAAAATTCATGATCGCCTAAATCTCCATTGAAAATCGTAAAACCGACAGCAGGTTTCGGCTCCTCCTCGTCTTTTTGTCTGCGTGATTTAGCGTGTTCTTCAATCCGCAGCAGCACGGCGCCAACGTCAGAAACCGCATTTACTGATAGATTGTTATGATAACTGCATCTGTGCAGTTCTTTGTCATGAATGCAGTTTTTACAACATTTTTATGTGAATTGTTTAATTAATTATTAAAATTAATATTGGTATTAGTTCTAATTTAATTTAACTAAAATAACACTAACATGTTGTGAATAAGTCCTAAAGACTTTCAATTAAAAAAAAATACAAAGCAGCATCAACAAAAAGCCTCATTTATTAAAGCACGAGGACTGAATAAATTGAACAAACTACAGTATTCAATTCAAAGTTAAATGGTTTTATGAACATTTCACATCGACATTCATTCTTGAGTTGCAAGAAAAAGCCCTTTGTAATGTGTCGCACTTTGTAATAACATGAAGCATGTTGGATCTGAAAAAAAAAAACCCTGCAAAAACAGACAGCGGCACCAGTTAATGACAATTTAACAAATGCACTGACGTTAACAAACAAGCTAAATGAATTTCAAGGTCTATAGTCTGCCTTTTTTTAAACGATTCTTATTCTCCTGTCCATGCATTCTGCGCACACTGCTGAAACAGGAAATTTACGTTTTAATTAGCTGTCTGTGTAATAATGTTTGGCGGAGATTATTATTTGTTATCTCCATGAAATAAAGCCCAGTACTGCCATTGTGATTACAGTTAATCACGCCAGCATGTAAAAAGAAAAGAAAAAAACTTTGAGATGAATTTAAAAAAATAGTAACTCTGAAAGTTATAAAGCTAGCTTAAAGTCACATCATATAGCAACTTTTTCAAGGTTTCACCAATGGCGTTTTGCTATTCACATACGTAGTAAGCCAACATGTGGAGCAATGTATAACATTACTAGCAAAGCGATATTCACTTGATTTCAGCCACTCCTACACAATCAAATGAAAAGTGTACTGTACCTTAAATAGAAAAGAACAAAGTATCACAGCTCACATCTGAGTGTTACACTCTGTACTAAGAGGCTTAGCAACACTGACGATACAAATAGCCATGGAAAATGAGAGAAATATAGGCAGTCAAGCATCTCTCTGACTGAACTAAGCCATTCCAGAGCTAGCCAACAGGAAGATATAATCTCGCAATTGCCTATTTGAGGACTTTAGCTGGGATTTAATGTTTTTGAAAGTTCAGGGCACTGTTCACTGGGCCGAAATTGCCTGAGTGTCTCAGACTCACATATTTACGTTCCGGCTGGCCTTCATACTTCATACTGCTGTGTACTGAGCAGCAGATATCATAGCCCTGGGATCCCAGCTGCACCTGAGAGAGGAGACAGCAGGTTTCCAGAGCAGAAAATCAATACGGCACCGGGCAGAGGAGGCTGCGGTCTTGCCGTAAAAAAAAAAACGGCCTTCAAAATCACAGCTATTTTCGTGTAGAGTGATAAAGCACTGATGGGATCGGAAGTTAGGGAGCATCTTCACACTGAATGTAACATAAAATAAAAGGCCTTCTTTGCTAGAAGGGGTGCATTATCTTTCCCACTATAGCCGTAAATGGAGTGTTCTGTGCAAGTCAACTTAAACTTCATGTGCTCTCTACTGATCAGATAACTCTTCGATAGTTATTCTAGACTCATCTGATGGTTGTTCAGGCCACATATGTGAACTGTAATCCTCACAAATGGATCTGTGTTTGCATATGGAAATGTGGGAACCCCAATAAACAATAGAGCACATAACTCCTGCTGCCACTAGCAATGTTAGCCATTTCATCTCTGGTGTTTATCTATATTTTAGTTTTCAACATTTAAAATAATACGAAATGTTTTTTTGAGCAGGAAAACAGCATATTAGAATAAGTTCTGAAGGATCATGTGACACTGAAGACTGGATTAATGATGCTGGAAAAAAAATCTTAGTTGCAGCGTTGGTCTTATAGGCTTGAATGCAGCGAAAACACACAAAAACATCTAAAATGGGAACGACCAGTGCATTTGACTGTAAAAATAATCGTTTAATTTAGTAAAACAATCGTTTTACAGACTGCTGAAAGCTACAGGAAAGAGAAGCAAATGGATCGCCTGGAATCCAGGCAGAGAAACGTGTTTTTATAGTTACTGTTTTGTGTCGGAGATAAGTTGAATTTTGGGGTAAAATCATACCATGGTTTATATATTGTATTGACAACTCATCAATTAAATATTTACCATTATGTAACCAAGTTTTTTGGCAGCATTTATTAAAAAAAACATTATGAGGAGGAGCCTTGTAATCAACAAAGGATGGATGGTTAGATAGTGTTAGACAAACCTATTTTCCTTACAAGTTTTGGATGGATGGATGGATGGATGGATGGATAGTTTACAAGCTGCTTCACAGAAAGTCATAATGCTATGTCTATAATGCCTAAAAAGTTTAAGGCTGGGCGATATGACAATATATAAATCATAGATAAGTGATCATACACATTTTAGATCTACCTATATTGTATTAATAGTTTTGTCAAGCAGATAAAGCATTCAGAGGCTTTGATAAACGTCAGAAAGTCCAATTCCTGGCCACATGTCAATGTACATGGACCACTGGGTCTTTGGCGAGTTGTAAGTAACACTGTCAAGTCCAACTGATTTTAATTTAAGAACATAGTTGTTTGTTTTACTCCCATTAATGCAAATTCCCCTACTAAAGCCAGTCATGTTGCAGGATGTTTTGTTAGGCTGAGGGGGAGTTCCGGTGGGAAAGTGATGTCAATGCATATCCTCTATAATATGAGATATATACGAGCTCACCTCAGGAGATCCCATTTTATAAATTGCACTCTATGCTCAGAGCGCACAGGGGTCTTCATTAAGCAAACTTGTTAGGCGCTTAATTACCCAAAATCTTCCTGCAGGTCTCTTGCCAGCAATGAGTGCACTGCGTTTTAGGGGCCCGTAAACAGGCCCGTCCTGAATGAATTCAATCTGCCTCTAGCTAAGAATCACTCTAGGAGAGCCTGTGTAAATCACATCTAAACTGCTGCAATGATTGCTGCATAGATTGTCCGTCTGCAAGACAATGAGGACTTTAATACGGTAAATTGATTGAGGAATCAGACCTGGAGCTCTGGCAGTAGCCAAGAGGGAGAGAGTTTGGGAATTTCTGCTGCAGAAAATTGCATTGTGAGTTACAGTAATAGCCTTTTGGAGTTCAGTGGTAATTGTGTGCGGGTCCAGCCAAACTGTGAGACTAAAGCCTTGTGGCGTAGAGGAACAATACAGAATGAGCTGCCATGGCGACTCTATAGTACCCACAGGAGACAATGATATATACAGTGGAACTGAACAACATTAGATCTCATATCTAATTTAAAATGGAATGAGGCCACAACCAAATAGTGGAAGGATAGTCAATTCACTTCCCCCTTCCTCTCCCTTACAAAAAATCAATTATTTATTTTATGGGTGGGAAGGATTTATGAGACACTGTAATATAACGATGTAAAATACAAGTTCGTTTCTGGGCATCCTTTTGAGTGTTGACTTTTCATTCAAAGAGAGGGATATAGAGGGGGTTTAAAACAGGGTTGCCCAATCCTGGAGATCTACCGTCCTGCAAAGTTCAGCTCCAACCCTGATCAAACACACTTCAACCAGCTAATAGGCCGAACGTCACATGAACAAACAGGAAAAAAGGACTCATTTTACCCACTTGTCAGGAAAAGTGTTAATGGCTGTACCAACTGGTGATATCTATGGACTTATGGACTTCAGGTAATCAGGTAACTTAGCTAGTTATTTTTATTGTTTACGTTTTATTTCGATTAAAATATATATGTTATTGAGAAGAAGAAAAATAAAAAACACTTTTAGATATCAATTTGCATATGCGATGGACATCGGTTGAGTCACTCAATTTAAAGTGTCAAGAGACACTTGAGTAAATCGTCTCTATATTTAATGAAGCACATGCAAATACCTGTTTAAAGAATGAGAAAGTTTGTTGCCATCTATGCAGCCATTTGTAGTGGTGTCCGAAACTACTGCACTCATTCAATCCCACAATGCACCGCAATTACAACCTGTAACAACAATCCCATTCGTTCAAATTGGATAGGATAATCAAACTGACAGTTTGGGGAGACCCGATATGTCATGACAATGGCAGTTTGACTCAATGAGCAATCCAGTCATTATACAGATCAGTGAATAAAAGACATCAAATCTATATTTTTTAAAGATGTAGTACGTACTTATTGATAGTTAGTGGTTAAAATGGGCACTGCAGTCTAAATTTAAAATACTGGAGTGGGTTGTTTTCCCCGCCCCCTCCCCCACAGGCTTGACACTCACGCGGGTTGCCAGATTGAGGACACGCAAAGTGGACAAGTGCAAATAACAATGGAATGCGACAAACCATCAAGTTGATCAGTTCATTTAACCACATTTTAATACGCCTCTGGAGAGCTTTTTAGATGGATGTCAAGGCTTTTTAGGTGGGTTACAATACTGCGATCTTTGAACCAGTTCGTTGGCTAGCTTCTATGGTGTGATTACACAGACCAAAACAAAAACAGACATTCCCACACGGAAAGCATATTTCAAAGTACAACAGCTGTCCATAGCGTTGTTTTTTTATTTTTTCGGAGAAACTATTTTGTGAACTTTTGCTTTAAATATGCAGTTTAACATAATGACTACTTTCCTTAATATTTGTATTTTATATCAAGTAAAGTTTTACTTTACTATTTGTTTTAATGCTAATTACAGAGTATCATAACATAATAACAAGTTGAGTCTCCTGTGCGCTAATGTGAGGAGCGTTTTGTGTAGCTGTCCATAAACAGCATTCCAAATCATTAAACTAATGAGATTTCAGTGCCGTTAGGATGCTCCCTCAGAAGGTGTGTAGGCCATAGACAGGGTGGCAACTAAATATGTTTTAAAAACCGAGCTTTTTTTAATGTAGAAAGCAACAGAAGTTTCCAATTTAAAAGGGTGTGACAGCAGTTAAGTGATCAAATAATCTCAAACAATCACAGAAATGTCTCACGCAGCTCTGTGCCCAGTGTCATGGAGAGTGTGTGCTTTATGGGTTTCAGTCACGTGACTTTTTTGTTGCGGCCGCCATCTTTAGGACCTTTGCGTAGCTTCTCCTGATCGGAAAGATGTCGCACACTGACTGACACGAACAGCACACCTCATACAGATGAAAAGGTATTTCAACGGTATTTAAATAAAATTGATACTTAAGGTTTAGATCCGTGTTTACTTTCAAACAAACTGCTGAATTTGACGTTCGCTGACATTTACTACCTCGTCCACAATCCCTATCCATTCACCGGAAGGCATTTAAAAGCACTGAAGCCTACCGCTACTTCACCTCAGGATGGGTTAATGATCCCGGAATCTATCATCTGGAGATGAAGAAAATGTTCTTGATAACAGGAAGGGTAAGTGGCACTCTTTTACTTGCTGAACATAAAAGTATTGTTGATATAAATTGACCGTTCGCAAAGACCCGCCCCCCGCCATGTCCGATAAGCTCATTTATTTTTAGCACTCACAATATTTTAAAACATCTTTACTGAAAATGCATATGTACATTACATTTTAGAGTGTCAAAGTTATGAATTTCAGAAATGTAGACAAATCACTGTCTATTAATTTAAGGCAGAAACATTGAGCACAGCACATTCAGCCATATGTATAACTAAGGTTACTAATGTAAATATAGATAGCTGTCTAGAATGACGTTATACGTGTTCCAATTGTAAAAAATGTTTTATCAAGCTAATCTGTAATTTGCTAATTTTACTTTTATTTACATTTTCAGGTGAAGCGTTCACAAAGCCTCAGTTTAACACCAACATACCACTGGATAACAGTACAGGAAGATGGGACAGTTCTCAGATATTTTGAAGAATGTCATTAAACAAACAGTAAACTGGAACCATTGACTTCCATAGTAGGAAAAAAAATTACCATGGAAGTCAATGGTTCCAGTTTGGTTACTGACATTCTTCAAAATATCTTCCTTTGTGTTCTCCTGTAGAAAGAAATGCATGCAGGTTTGAAACAACTTGAGAGTGAGAATGATGACAGAATTTTCATTTTAAAGTGAACTATTCCTTTAATGTAGTTCATATCTTCATTAAGTGTTAGTTTACAATCAGTAGTTTAAAATGCCTTTTTCAATAACATTCGGTTAAGTTACTATTTGTGAGCCGGGCACAGGGTTTCTGGTAGGAATAAATATTTGCACAGTAGAAATGCAGTTTGAATCTACAACCTAATTACCCATGTGGTTTATAATGTATATGGGATTTTTTATGAATGATTTGATTATTACGAATGATTAACAATAAACAGAATGAGAACAGAATTTTACTGTCACCTTTTTTTATTGCAAATATAAAACAGACTTGTATCAAAACAAACATCAGTTCATATAGTTATGTGTTACACTGGGAACACAATGTTACGTAGTCTCTATTCTGAGGGCACAACAGATGGGCAAATGTTACACAAAGGGAGTCAGCCCAGGTCCCCCTTTAGGAATCCTGACAAGAAGGTGAAGACTACCATCATCTTGGAATAGGATGGAAGTCCAGTAAAGTCCTGGACCATCTCATCATTGTCTTTGAACACCTCCTGCTGGAAAGATAACTTGCTTACCCTGTCCCTAAGTTGATAGACCTCTGCCCTCAGTCTGGTACACTCTTCTGTCAGTTTCTTCACAGTTTCTCGACAGGCTTCATCGGAGCATGCTACACTGCTCTCAGTATGGATAGGGTCTTTACAGTAGCTGTGTTCCCCAATCTGCCCGCTCTCAGGAAAGCTGTCACTGTGGTCCATCTCATTGCCAGTATATTTACCATGGGGTAACATTGACACATCACTGGTACAACTTCTCTTCCTCTTGACAGCTTGTGTTTGCTCAAATTTCTTGTAGCAATTGGTTTTTCTTTGTCGTTGCTCAAGTGACAGGTAGGCAAACAGATTTGGCACATAATCGGGGTTCAGAGGATTATCACTTTTCTTGCCTGCAGTGGTATAATGAGACACCAATTAACATTGCCAACTCAGAATTAGTGATTACACTTTTATAATAACTGCATGCTAATCATTAGTTAAGCATGAGTAAACAGTTAATACATCATTTTTTAAACATTAATAGACAATAAATAGTTTATAAATACAGCTATAAATGCTTTTTACTTGATTTATAAACATATCTAGGCTATAATGTGTTTAATAATAGTACTTTCATTTTTGTTAATGATCAATTTATCATTTCTAAATAAAGTATAGCATTATTTACATTACAAACCAGTTATTTAAGAGTATTCAGTGATTCATAAGATCACAAAGTTTAAGTAAATGGAGTAAATTCAGGTAGATTTTATGAACAAACTAAGTATTACTGTTTGTCTCGATATAAGATGTATGAATGTGAATTTAAATACTTTAAGTAATCTTAGACAACTCCATTGAAAACTCTTAAATAACTGGTTTATAAATAATGCAATATTTCATTTAGAAATGATAAATTGATCATTAATAAAGTAATCAAGAATAAAGCATTTAAAGCTGTATTTATAAATTGCTTTTTTATAACTATTAATGACTATTAATGCTTTATATGTGATGGAATATCTATTTACTAAAGCCTTAGTAAAGTTTTACCGAATTAGTTAGTCTAAAAGTGGATAAATTAACGTTAACATAACGTTGATAGACACAGATGACGATCAAGTTATTTTGTTAGAAAATGTAAGCCAGTTACACATTACCTAATTGAATTTATCGGCAAAGGCTGATTGGTAAGGAAGAGGTGCTAATGTTACAACAGTTCACGTTTGCAAACCATGTTGCAAACGATTAGCTTACATTCCTTACCTGAAATAAAGTGCTCACTGCAGTGTCTGGAGTGTTCTGTAGGTGTCCAGTTATCCCTCTTGATAGCAGAAATCCATTTCTTACGACGTTCAGGGTTTTTGGGAATGTTATTAAATTTTAGTTTATCATTTCTTTGTGATTTGCTGTTGTCACAGCTTACAGCACTGCAGATAGACGGCACGTTAGCTATCGCGATTCGGTCCTACAAATGGCGGCCGCGCCACTGTGTGACGTCACATGAAATCCATGAATAGGTGATTTTTCACCCAGAAGGCCAGCAGCAGATCTGCGGTAATTAAGGTTCTGTAATGCACCTTGAAAGAGAATGAGTGCCATGTTAGCAGGCAGCCATTACTAAAGCTTTTCGCAATCCATGTCAAGGTCTGCTCACACTCTCTTTTTCTCTGGGTCGGACAAGAGGCTCGCTTTCACGTTAAGTAGTAAACATAGAAAAACGGTGCTTTCACTCAACCTCACACAAAATCAGAACATTCGATCAGATTAAACTATTTTGGCTTCACTTATGGTGTGACTGGAACTTTTAATGGTTTGTTTTCAGTTAACACCTTCTTTTAAAGCCATCACGAGCAGGTATATTTAATCAAACCAAACATAAATGTCGGGGCTGAGTGCCAATTCACATACTATCACTTCTTCAAAGGCCACCTTGAATTTTCATCCTGGTTCAGGCTGGTTTATACTGGTTCATTCATGGTGTCTTTGATGCTGGTGCACATTTAATGTACTTTTAAATTGAAATTTCTGGCTGCATAGGTTGTCCAGAAATCTGAAACCACATGGAAAATCTAATTCAACCTGAAAATAACCTGAAATTCATCTTTTCATTCAAATCGTGATGCTGATAAGATCATTTGTACTGTTTTTTATTTTATTTTGTATTATGCACAACAGAAATATCTTCAAAAAGTTGTCTAAGACCAGTGTTATTTTAACTTTATTAATATAAGATTTGTCACAGGTGGCTGTAAAAAGCGCACAAAGCTAAATATGATAATACAAGGTAATATACATGTATGATCGCACGTGCAAACTCGACAATCGACTACTGTGGACTTCGACCGAAAACAGGAAGTAAACACAGGTATGTGAGCTGGCTGAATTAACATCATTTTTATTAATATCTTTCACATCTTTGCAGTCAGATTGACCGTGGATGTGTACTTCTAATGACAAATCAAGGATGTTAAGAGGCTAAAAGCAGGTTTAGAACATGTCCCATTGAAGTCAACAGGGTGTACATTTTTAAAAGAGGGTAACACGGCGTAGGCAACACCGATTTTTGTCATTTTTGTCTGTACTGACAGCACTCCAAATGTACAAAACAATGAGCTCAATGTTAAAATTGACGGCAGTTCTCCTTTAACCAGGATTAAACACTGGACTTTACAAAAATGCAGATGCTTACCGGCGTATTCAGGGTCCACATGAGGAGGATAGAAACGGAAGTTGATGAAGAAGGGAATAGGCACACCGAATTTGAACCACTCCACCACATAGGGAGTCTGCTGGCCGTTTAGGGGGTGGCTCACGTCACATCCCAAAACAACGCTCTCTCCTGCACGGGCCGTCACAAACTGGGGCTCTTCTCTCACTCCGTAGGCACCTGGACACAAAAAACACACACATTCATTCGGCACAGTAAGTACAGTATATTTGTCCCTAAAAGCTATACCCAAAGTGAGGTGTCAAACAGCTCATTGTCCTATTAAACAAACATCTTTTTGTGAAGACTTGGATAGTTTCCCAAACGCTGGTGAAAGTTCTCAGGTAATTATTAGTTAAAAAGAACGGCCAAGCACATAATGAGATGACAAGAGCCTTATCCACGTACCTCATTGATCTCAGCTAATTCACACTTGGAAGGGTTTTACAATAGAGGGGCCAGAGTTTTAGCAATCAATGCACAAGCACGTCACATGCCCATGGGTGACCTATCGGAACGGTAAAGGTCATTGTACCTGCCTCAGCAGAAAATATATCGGGGGAATGGATTTTCTTTTGCTAGCTCCACCACACCCATTGAGCACTCTCTCCTCTATCAGAGTTAGCATGGCTTCAGCGCCTCAATGAAGGAGAAAATCACCTCCGGGATCAAAGGACCTGCTGACGGTGCATTCTCCACCATGGAGACACTGTATAGAAAACTAAGTGATTCACTAACAGTAAAATGTAAAAAATAGGTTACAAAAACACAGCTCTCTGACTTTCAGGACATGCTTTAACTACATACTGATTCTGAATAACCAGTCAGCAACCATTTTTGCTCTCACACTTAGTAGTTCTCTAACATAGTGACCGTTCTCTCATTTAAAGTTGCATTACCTGACATAGCATTAACCTGACTTAATGTCTTGCGGTTCATGAGTAAGTGAAGAACTGATCACGCTTACACTACCATTTCAAAATTTTTGGATTTAAAGATAATAATTATTTTATTCAGCAAGGATCCATTACATTGATCTCTCAAGTGACTAAAGACGTGTATAAAGTTACAAAATATTTATATTTCAAATGAATGCTTTTGAATTTTATATTAAAGAGCCCTGAAGTAAATTTATTACAGTTTCCGCAAAAATATTAAGCAGCACAACTCAAGTTTTCAACATTGATTTTAAGTAGAAATGTTTCTTAAGCAGCAAATTAGCAAATTAGAATGATTTATGAAGGATCAAGTGACTCTGAAGACTCGAGAAATGATGATGACGTTATTTTTAATATTACACAAGATAGCCTATAGCTTTTCTAATGTATTTTGATCAAATAAATATAACCTTGCTGAGCGTAAGAGACATCTTTCAAACTCTTCATTTCACCCTTGAAAATTAGAGTAACAAAACCAACTGCTTTCCCCCTACAATAAACTACACCTCCAGTGTGACTGGATTGTTGACTGTATTGAACTGAGCAAAACGTTAAAACAATTCAAACCATTAACTCATAACACTGATTTGTGAGTCGTTCATTCATGTGTCAGACTACACTTTTGCGTACATTATTAGATATTGCATACACTGTAAAAAAAAAAAATATTGATGGTTTAACTTAAAAAGTAAGTAAGCTGGTTGCCTTAAAATTTTAAGTTCATTGAACTGGAAGAAGTGAGTTAATACAATGAAGGAGAATGATTTAATCATCGGAAACTCAAAATTATATGTTATCTGAACTAAATAAATTATTTAAGTTGATTTGACAAAAGAACAAATGTTGTGATTACTACACTGTAAAAAATATTGTTGGTTTAACTTAAAAAAGTAAGTAACCTGGGTTGCCTAAAAATTGTAAGTTGATTGAACTGGAAAAAGTGAGTTAATACAATGAAGGAGATTAATTTAATCATCAGAAACTCAAAATAATAAGTTCTCAACTAAATAAATTATTATAAAGTTGATTTGACAAAAGAAAATATGCTGTGATAACAAATCTTGAAAATATTTTTTATAGTGTACCATACGAACAGCAAAGGCAAATAAAGATGTGCTGCCCTGTATTATTTCAAATTGTCCAGTCTTCTGTAGATTCAGTATTCAATAAAAAATAGCAGCGATTGAAACACATTTTTTGTTGTTCAGTCTACATATGCAAAAAAAAAAATATTCCAAACTATATATGCAACTAAATGTTGTTTAAATCACTAATTTGCAGTATATTTAAAAAATAAAATTCAACCAAACTCATATGCAGCAGTGATTTTATTTACCAGTTAAATCAGCTTTATCCAGTGGAAGAGTTAATCCACTTTGTTTGATTTAGCTCACACAGCTTTCGGACTGAAACAGTGCAGATTTAATCAAATTACTCCTAAAGTATAGAGCTGGACCCTCCAGTCACGGACCTGGGCCCTGGAATCCGCTCTACTATTGAAAGTGCCGAAGACTGCAAATCGCCACAAAGAGAGCAGCTTAGCTTTAATGAGAGACTAACAGGGTGCATGCATACCCATAAACACTCTACAATCTGCACATGACCAGCCCAGAGCAGGTTCACAAAGAGCATTTCAGCAAGCCATAAATTTGGGCCAGGGAGTCCCATGTTTAGCCTTGTTAGAATGGCCTAATTGTCATCTTGTAACACTTCTGCCCAGTCAGACTGTAGGCCTACATACTGTAATATATATGTAGCACGATCGAGAGTTGTATATTGTACATTCAAATCTCACATAATTAACAATGGATCCTTTGAATCAGAATTAGACAACTGTTCTGTTTTTTTTTATTTTTAGTATTCTAAATATGTATCACTGCAGGTCACCAGACTAACATTTGCACTCTAAAGACCTTCTGTGTCCCCACCCGTTTTCAGCGCTGCGCTCGTTTGTCTTTTGTCTTCCGGTCTGTATTTTCACAGTCATCTTGCCTATTTATGAATGAACGGCTCGTTTTAAAATCTTCCCGGTCTTAAGACATCTGTTTTAAACATTACAATCCTCATGACAACTTTCGTTAACTTTACATTAAGTAAATACACTTAAGCTAATGGGCTCTATACACGGCGGTATTTCCGGAGAAGGTGTAAGGATGCTCGATAACTTCCACCGATCGTAGAGTCCAATGCAATACAGAGAATTTTTATTGAATTTTATATTCCATGGTTATACTAAAGAAACATTAGTTACAAAAACAGATAAAACAGACACCCCTCGTTGTATTTATGCTTCTTTTTAAAATTATATTAAATAAACATAAATATATAATATATAAAATTACATCTAAACATATGTACGTTTCGTTTCAAAGACGGGAAGACAGTAAATTTTGAAGACTCTGCCATAATCCGTTTTCCTCGGTTTTCCTCCGCTTTAATCTCCACAACCGGAAATGGACGAGCATCCTTGCGTCAAATGCGGAACCTATGCGTGCATATAGAGCCTAAGTCCCGCCCCTCCGGCTCATGGGACCTTATTTCGGAAAAAATATGAATGGTAGTCAATGGCGAGAGACAACTTATCTTTTTATTTCGTCTGAACTGTGCCCTCAATTACACATATGATGTTTGTCAATTTAAAAGATAATTCTGAAAGTCAAAAACGTTGCAGTTTGTCATACTTCAGAAGAGTAACATTTAGTTTTATGTGAAAATCGCTCTATGAACTACATCTCCCGGGAAGCGAAACGAGATCCGCTGCTCGTGTGTGTGCAGTCTGGTACAAAACACTCAGGTATGACGGCGTAACGTTACGATTATAACGTAAGACTGTAGAAACAATGACAGACAATAGCCTCAGTAAAGTTAGCTTCATTCATTGAGAGAAAATGTGCGCCTTTGGGGTTTGTAGTCTTTGTAATTACGTATTTTCACAGTCTTATGCCTCAACGGTTTTACATCAAACTGTGACTTTCTTTACTTTAAAATGTATCTTTTAAATTGACAAACATCATATATGTAATTCAGGGCACAATTCAAACAAGATCAAAATATTTGTTGTCTCTCGCCATTGACTACCATTCAATATTTTTTCAAAATAAGGTCCCATGGTGGTCAACCGGAAGGGGAGGGACTTAGGCTCTCTATAGCCCATTACTCCTGGACAGCAATGCAAAAACGGAAGTTCAAAGACAATATTCTGAAGATGGCGGCGCCCTTGTTTCTCTGATGCATAAGGTCTATTCTACAGATAATTTGACAGAACCAGTTGGGAAGATGAAAAATGTAAGGCCAGAAACCAATAACAATGGTAATGTATTGTATATAACAAATAATTCACATCCGCGAGTAAACGCACAGTTGCACTGACCTCTCAGCTTGAACTTGATTGTAAAAAAAGTCATTGCAACTTGTACTTTTCTGAGAACTACTTTTTACTAGAGCTCCGACGTGATCGCACACCACTGCGGATTCATTTGTTGATATACCGATACCTCTTTTTTACAGTCTATACCTGTGTTAGTGTAGTGTTGTCTTAGAAATTAGTATTTTCAAGTGCAAGGACAAAGAATGTCACTTGTCATCTTGGTGTGACATCGGTGTGTGTAAACATGGAATGAATGGTTTATTTGTATTTGCACTGTTGCGACTTATTACAGAATTTAGCAGGATTTTGAAAATCGTATTACAATGAATCAAACCGTACTCAAGATTCAGGTTTCATGATTACGTTGGCATCATTTCGTAAAAAAATCCCTAACCCCAATAAATCGAACGAGAATGAATGTCATATCGAATGTCATGTAGCAATTTTCACACCCTATGAATTGCACATTATAGGCTATGGTTTGTTAAGAAATCTCAAGTAATGTAGCTCAAAGAAGGGCTTAAAACAGCCTGAAAATGACTGGATGGCAAGTAGGAAACAGGAGGATTAAAGGTGCTGGACCCTAGTATCAGCTCAACTCAACTCATGTGACCACTCTCCCCTTAATCCACTTGTGTCTGCTTTCACTCCCAAAGGCACAACAAAGACACATGACCCTTTCAGCGCATATAAACACACCCATCACTCATACCACACATTTACACTGCATTATATGGGTCCTTGGTGATCCGAATGGGGCGGATATACAGTATGTGTTGTATCAGTGGCTGAGCTCTAAACTCAACTGTTATGTTTCAGAGAATGAAATGAATTACAACAAAACTATATATATATATATATATATATATATATAT